TTTTTTTTTTTTTTTGACGGAGGCAAAAATGTAACACAAAAAACAACCTTTTTTTAAATGACCAGCATTTAAATAACAGGCTTACAGGTTTGGCTGCTGTAGCATTAAGTAACCTCTAGAAAACAACTATCAGACTTCACAAAGGCCTTTGATATCTCAGCTTCAAGTCAATGCAGATAACGCTTAATTTATGATTCAAATATGAATCTGTGTCACAGTCTGACGTTTCATCTCCCAAGGTGAAGAGATGTGAGAAGAATAATGACTTGTGCAGGGGTATAATTGCACTTGAGGGGAAAAGAAAGTCCTACCCTTTGCTGCAGCTCTTTAGCCTGACAGGCAGAATTCAGCTTGAGCTCCCAAAGCTGAGTGAGTGAAGCTAAAAGACCGGGACCTTAATAAAGATGACTGACAAACTGTGACCTGAAATACAACCACTTTTACCATGTTAAAACGAAAATCCTGTAACATTCCTATACAAGTTGAAGATTTCTAAACAGCACAAGAAAAAGCACAAAATGATCAGATTGATCCAACAATAGACAAGCTTTAGCTTGAAGCACGTTTATGTAAGATGTGTACACATCTTTAAAGCAAACTTTTTTTTTCTTTTTGCACTGATTGTAACCTGCTTTAAATGCTACACTACCCAACTTTGCCTGTAAAACACAACTTAGTGTTTTCTTAAAAACTTTCTTCAGGCTAGAGCATAGAATCAGAGGGAACTTTGGTCATTTCTCTTAAAATCTCTCTAAATTCTTCAGTCCTAGGTCCTCTCTCACGCTCCCTTTTTCTCAGGTCTGACTACAGGTTTTCCTCATGATGTAGGAGTGGGAACTAAAATAGTAAGTTCTCATGAAAAGTTCTCATGAACTTTTCTCATGTTCATTTTAGCATTTTGATTTTGTTCATTATTTTACTGGAAGGCCAAAATATGACCCTCTCATAGTTTTCTGACAGAGTGCTACATAGTTTTACCTTAAATATTCTGGTGTTTATATGTTGCACTATAATAAGATTCCAAAGGTCTTTATAAAAAAAACTGAACCACATATTCCACATACACCATGTAGTGGATATTTTAGGCCTTCCTCCTTTGATTCATACACATTTGATCTGCAATCACAATTAAAGAAAAAGCTCATTGTTAGTCTCATAAGACTAAAGCTTCGAAATCCAGTAAAATCAGAAAACTTTAACTTTTGCAGTTGGCCTTGTGATTTGGCAATAAACATAATTAAAAAATCTCTTCTTTTCTTTTAATCTTTCATTTTGGCAATGATCTCATACGGTTGAAATGATGTCACATTTGTTAAAAAAGTATGTTTTTGGGCCGAGCCAAAGGGTGCAGTGGGTAGCAACCAGGAATAAACTGCTAATTCTCCCTTGGCGATGCCAAAGAGCGTTTGTTTGGAGGAAGTGTTTTGGTGTGAGGAAACATCTTAGCTTGTTTCCAGCCTTTACACTGTTTGGTTTATCAGAATTGATTCCAAAATTACGGAGCACAGAGAGTGGAATGAATAGACTGTAATCAAGACCAAAAGCCTAATTAAACATAAGGGTATACCAGTCATAAAAAAAGTTACCAGCACAACCATATTGCCTGAATATTATGGCCTCCTGCAACAGTCTGTCACCAGTATACTTCTGAGGCTGCTATTCGCTAAACTAAGATTGCTGATATGCTTTGTTTCTTCAAAATTGAATTTTCCAATCTGATGAATAACACCAACAAAAGAGTCAATAGCAAAAGTATCTGTCTGGCTTTTGAAAAGATTATTAGGCAACTGCATCAAGGGCACAACCCACATATCCAGCTCTGCTACTCAACTCACAAACACATTTTCCTTATAAAGGTTTTACCACGACAATATTTGACCCTTTACATTTGTATAACATTAGCAAAAGTATTGTTGCAACACCAAAAAAAAGTAAACACAAATTTTCTTCATTTCTGTGCTAACTTTGGAGATTTTCTAACCTAGCTCACTCTAAATGGTAGCAATATATGTCGGATTTTTCTTCTCCAATCTGATTAAATGCACAAAGGGTAAAGTTTTTCTTCAGAGATAAAATAAGCTGATATGATTCAACGTCAATTTAAAATCCTTAACAGGGGTGCCAGCTAGTTTGAAAACACCTACACACATTTTATGCTGATGATGCTATGCTATGAAACACAGAGCAAAAATATGAACACCTGCATCGTTTAAAGAAGCTTTTTTACCCCTCAAAGCTTTTAGGATTCGCTACTACATAAATATTTTCTGTTTTATATAAAAAACATCCAGTAAACTTGCAAAAAAGAGAGTTGAAGTAAAGAATTTGTAGCTTGTACTGAGAACTTAGCACCAAAATCCTCACACCGACAGCATTTTGATAGTGACGTACCTTTACAGTAGCTGCTTGTGTAGTGCTTTGATGTACTCTGTGAAGTTGTGAGTATAAAGCACTTAAGAAAATAAACAGATTAAAAAAGCATTTTATTCCCAAAAATTGTGCTGCGTTTCAGGGTTTGTTCAGGGGTTAAAGAAAGCCTGTTCTCTTACAGGTGCAGGGAAACATTTATTATGTCTGAACGGCACTCGCATTCATGCTTGTTCTCTTAACTTTTTGATTTTTGGCATTTGGATTAAAATCATTAACATTAGCTCTTAAGAGAAAATAATAAGCAGAGCTTTTAAGGTAAAACCTTAAAGATTTTTAGCTAACTGTTTGATTGGCATCTTCTCTTAACTTTCATTTATTCTCGCCTAATGTTTACAATAAACAATGCAACCTCATTTTGAGTATAAACAAACATTAATAAAATTTAGATTAGTGTCATGGTATTGTAGCCATTTATATCTTTGTAAAGACAGCTGTAAGAAAAATTGTTTTAAACCCAGCGTCCTATCTCGGGAATATAAAAAGAATTTGTCTTTTTGCAGCTTAGTAGTTGTCTTTTCCTTTGAAAAAATAAGAAAATTTAAAAAATAAAGAACCAAAACAAAAAAGGCATAAATGTGTACTAAAGAAATCTTATTCTTCATCTCTTTACACTAATTTTTTTAGACTTGCACATTTTTCCTCCCCAGGCATAATAATTTGAGCATTTAATTGGATAACTTTTCTTTAGATTTTTTAGATCAAAGCTAGTAAAAAAATGTCTACAAGTGTCAAAAAACACCTTGAAATTGTTATTGTTAAAGTGAATCATATGTCATTGAATTGTAAATGCCTGTGTTGCTGTTTACTAGATCATATCTTTAGAAAATGACCCAATAAAGACTGTACTTGAATTGCATTTTGGTTTCTTTACTTTTTATATATTGAATTTATTTTAAAGAAGAGGCTGCAAAACTGTCACACAAGGAAACCCATGCAGGCACCTGATCTTACTGTGGAAAAAACAAAACAAAATCCATGTGCTGATTTTGACCTTTTGTCTATTCATTCTCTTTGTGAATCTCTCACCTTTCTTCACCACTCTCCTCTCAGTCCGGTGTCTCTGGAAATCCTTGACCTTTTAATATTTTTCTTCCCAACTGCCGCTACTAGGAGGAGATCAAACACATCCTGCAGCATGGTGGCAACTCTGCACAAAAACAACACAACCACTAGGAAACAGCGGTGTTCATTATGTCCGCCTTAAAAACACAGAGCCGCAGGACACCCTCACCTTAGTGTCTGCACCACTAGAAAGAAACACTGTGATAGTGGATAAGACAAGGGTTTCTCATACCTGCAAGACATGGAAGCTTGTAGTTTACTGAGTGGCAGTTGATATATTTTAAATTAGAAATCTAGTGAAGACAGATGGGTTATGAACTGCATGTTGGCTCAGGTGTGGAGAGGACCTTGTCATTTAATATGGACTCTGTGTCCCCTAGCCAGTGCATCAGCTGCTGCATGTGAGAGGATAAAGCCTGTTGTAGATCAGTATTACTGGTTTCCTGTGGGGCATTTGTTTGACAACATGACTGGAAAAGAAGCTAGAAAAAAAATAATAAAATTAAATGTGTCCTATTTTCACCACTAGATGTCCTCGTAGTTTCATGAACTGTTTCCACTCAGCAACTCATGCAGACATGTCATATTCTAGTCTTAACAAAATTAAAATAAGAAATTTGTATGATGTTCTCTGTTTGCTTCAATCAAAGGAATAGCATATTTTATACGATACATTTAACTTAAAAAAGATCTGTTTTTAAGCAGTGTCTCGAAACATTTGCAGTAAAAACTTCCAATGTTTAGATCTGGCACTGGTCCTTAAACCGTTTATGTTTTCCACATTCTTTTCCCAAATAAAAGCAACCTAAGTGCCATCAGTAGTTCTTTTATCACAGTTCTCAACCATGAGATAAATTACTTTTTTATGCAGTAAAGCAATGGGCTTAATTATACACAGAGGAAATTAAAAATATAATTTAAAGTTCTTCACTTGGAGGAGTTAAATTTTTTTTTTCATCATACAGTATCCTCTATTTGAATAACAGAAGTAAGCAAATCTTCATCTCAAGGTTGGTATCAATTATCTTTGGCAGGTGAATATAAATAGACCTCATTGAAGACAGATTTACATTTGAGCACATGTCGTTAAAAAATCATTCCTGAGAAGGTTTC